TGGCTCTCCCCTGCTTCCTGCCACTGAGCTGCTTTGAAACTTGAAATGTTTTGAAACTTTCAAAATGTTTCAAGCTTGCAGCACCCTGGTTGAGAATCACCGCTTTAGTTCTTTTTTGGTTTTCCTCTTACATCTCTAATTGCTCCTGTATTTTCATTTGGAAGACTGTTGCCTTCATTCTGATTTTCAGTGGGGGTCTCACAGAGACCTTTTTCATTGTCTCTTTTCTTCTTGTCTCTTGCATTAGCTCTTCTCTTGCTCCAGTGTCTTTTGGTGATGCTCATAAACATGACTTCAACATTCATTCATCTGCAGACTACACATGGACAGATCTACTTCTCCATTCCTTAACCTTCCCATTCTGTCCAAATTGGAATCTCAGCCCATAAACTTAATTCTTAATTAGTCCCCTCAACTTTTGCCTCTCTTCCTTTTTCAGTCATTTTGAACAATGTTCTTCATGTCATGTAGGCCTGTAACCTGGCGCTTATCTTCAATTTTGTCCTCTCTCCAGACACCTGTATATTCAAACAGTGTCTAAATCTTTCAGCTTCTTCCTGTACAACATGTTCAGGCCCAGATTTTTCTCACTATCCACACATCTAAAATTCTCCTCCACTATCATGACTCCTGTTCACATTCTTCTCTCCAGTCTTGAAACATCACATCTTACCACACTTAAAATGTCATTACAAAGATCATCTTCTTTGTCTATTGCTTTGACTATGTCACTCTCTTTTTGCATGCCCCTACTGACTCTCCTATTCAATCACTATTTGTTATGTGCAAACTCCTTTCTTTCTCCCTGTCATTTACCCCGCTTTCTTAGGTAGGTGAGTCAGCTCTAGCATCTCAAACCAGTTTTACTTCTTTCAAAAAGACTTTACAGCCATAATAGCCAAATCAACCAAACTTTAACAAAAAATCCAAACCAAACCAAAATAACTAAAACACACTCTTTAGAGGATAAAAAAGGCAATTTTAGCTTTGTGCTTGTCCTCAACACTACAGCCTGTTGTCTCTTCCATTGTACTCCTTTCCCAAAATTCTTAACATTCTTTATGGTTCCACCTTTGTTAACTGGTCATCAGATCCAGCTGGCTCCCAGCCTCCCAGCCAGGCAAACTATCAGCTGCTGACCACCAGCAGCTGGGTTCTAGCTGGGTCCCACCTGCAGCCCTTAAACCTCCTTATGCTCCCTTTTAAGGTACTAATGGCCTATCCCAATGACACCTATTCTGTCTTGTATGCTCCCTAGATGTCATCTCTTAACTCCATTCTGTTAACAAGGCAGCCCTTGATCACCCATATGTCACATTTTTTGACAACACTGCCACGCATTTCAAGCCACAGTTCATATATAGAAGGAAGACCTGTAAAAATCTGCAAGTCCTCTACATTTTTTTTCTTGTAAATCTCTCTTTAAACCCCACCATGGTCATGATGTCTACAAACCACTAGAGAACAGTTATACAACAGGTGTACTATGGCAAGGCTGATTCTACTATTCGTGACTGTCACTGTTACCTTAGTTAACATTATCGATTTGTTATATTCAATTTAGGTTAGAATGAATGGTCGTCTGGGTAGGGATGATGTTTTTACTATATGTTTGGACAATGCCTAACACAGTGGAATCAGTAAATTACTGTAATATTAATATTATCAACATCAGCAAACTAAGCCTGCCTCTTGCTGGCAGGAAAGGAAGTGAGAAATATCACTGTTGTCAGTTTTACCTCTGAGAGGCACTTGAATACTATGATGGAAGGCACCAATATAAGATCTTAGAAAGACAGTGCTAGACAGAAGCATAGAGACCAACAAAACAAAACAGAACCCATCATCCTACACAGAAATGCACTAATCAACATACCAAGGATTCCAGAACCCAAAAAATCCATTTTGCTGACTGGAAATGTACCTTTTTAAATACCTCAATGATTGCTCTCTGAATCTAACTGAGCTAACTTTTCCATTTAAATTTTCTATTTACGATCTTTAATTGATTCTCTCAATTAAACTGGAGGGTACTGGCCTAGAACAGTCTACAGTGAGGTGGGTTGGCAACTGTCTCAGAGTATGATCCCAGAGAGTTGTAATTGATGGGATGGCCTCATCCTGGAAGGCCATCTCCAGTGGTGTCCCCCAGGGATCAGTGCTTGGGCCCGTGCGCTTTAACATCTTTATCAATGACTTGGATGAAGGGGTGGAAAGGACAATGATTAAGTTTGCGGATCACACCAAGCTGTGGGGAAATGTGGGCACATCAGAAGATAGGGTAAAGATCCAGGATCACCTTGACACACTGGCACTATGGGCTGAATGCAATTGGGGTCAATAGGGACAAGTGCTGGGTTCTTCATGTGTCTAGGAAAAACCTTCACCATAACTATATGATGGGTGGTGGTCCACTGGCTGGCATTGCAACTGAAAGGGACCTGAGGGTGACAACTGACCAGAAGATGAATATGAGCCAATGGTGCAATGAAGTTGCCAGCAGGATAAACAGAACTCTGGCGTGCATCAGCTGATGTGTTGCAAATAGATCCAGAGAGGTGCTCTTCTCTCTCTATTTGGCGTTGGTGAGGCCACAGCTGGAGTATGGTGTCCAGTTCTGGGCACCACACTTCAGGAAGGATGTGGATAACCTCTAGAGGGTACAGAGAAGGGCCACCCATACAATTAGGGGCCCAGAGGATAGGCCCTATGAGAAGAGACTCCGGGAACTGGGTGTGTTCAGTCAGAGTAAGAGAAGACTGAGAGGTGACTTGATAGCTGCCTACAAGTAGGTCAGGGGTGAACATCAAGATCTAGGGGAGCAACTCTTCAGAAAAACCCCCCTTGGGAGGACAAGGACCAATAGGCACAAGCTAATTGAGGAAAAATTTAGGCTGGACATAAGGAAAAATTTATTTTCTGTAAGGGCATCTAGAATCTGGAATACCCTCCCAGCAGAGGTAGTGCAGTCACCACCCTTGGAGGTGTTCAAGAGGAGGCTGAACAAGCACCTCACTGAGCTTGTTTGAGCCCAGTAACTTTGTGCCCATGGCAGGGGACTGGACTTGATGATCTCACAGGTTCTTCTTGGTCCTTTGATTCTATGAGTTTATGATTCCATCTTTACTAACATAACAATGGATCATTTTAAGACAAATTATATAAAGACTATATAAGGAATAGTGGAGTTACAGGATCCATGTCAGAGAACTTTTAACACCAGCAGATGGAGACATAAATTCTTCTGACTAAAATGTTGTCTTCAAAGATATTTTGAGCTTCAAAGTATAAATATGAGCATCCCCAGTGTTACAGAGGTTTATGTCTGGGGGGTTGTTTTAGCTGCTTTTAGTTATGTCTACTTCTAGTTATTTCAGTTATTCAAGGCAATTTATATTGAATGCAAACAATTTTTTTGCCAGAACAAAGGACTTCCAGAAAGCTCATTCATTTCAACATAGACTAATCATTGACATAAAAATACAGTTACAGGTTACGTTCATACAACTGTCATTAAAATATTACATAGCGTGGGGCTAACTTAGAGATTCATATGCGCAGAAACCAATTGGCACCTGTGGCTTCTATGTAACTTATTATTCATTAACTGAATACTAATATCTTTCCTTTATTCACTGTTAGAGAAGTTAAACACAAAAGGGATCAAAACTGATCACAGCTATACCATGTGACATTCAAAAGGATACATTTAGTTTGTCAAATTTTAAATATGTTTTTAAGTATAATCCACTGCTTATTTGTCTTAGTATAATATTTGTATTTGACAAAAATAAAGAAACACTGACCAAATACCTCATAAAAATTAATGAAGCATTTTAAATTACAAGAAGAATGGAAAACCTCATTCTATTTTTATTTTTAAATTCCTTTTTCCTTTTCTTCTTTCTGTTAATTTGTTTTGGATTTTCAAAATCTTCAATAACAACAGGATGCATTTGGATGCATATAAGAAAAACCATGACTTAAATAGAAATCCTCAGTGAAGGTTCTGAAAATGGATCCCCAAAATGATGCAATTTAAAGGAGCCCTAGAAGTTTTTTTTCAAGATAGTTTTTATCTTGTTCATGCTAATATTAACTATGAAGTAGAACTGTATAAATATTAAAATGTAATACAAATGTGGTATCCTAATGATTGTACAGCAGAGCTTGATGGTTGAAAATACAAGTTAAAATTTATACAACTATGCTGCATTAAGGAGGTATCAGCTACATAACTTTTTTGGAAAGAACAAGGCTGAAGAAATGTTTCACTCAAGCCTTTTAAAAACCTTTCAAAAATGCCATCTGGTTATGGCCATTAACTATGGGAAGAGATTGAAAGGAGTGGCTTTATAGAAATATTAACAACATACCACTGTATGAGATAAAAAGAACAGACCGTTTAACCATATTACACACTATTTTCCCCAGAAAATATAAACATAAAGTGGGAAAAACCCCAAACTGTTAAACACTGTAGGTATCTTGAAACCATTGGTAAACGTTGTAGCTCAAACCTTGTTGTTTATTACCAGATAAAGGGAAAGTGATCACATAACCTAATTATGAAGGTGTGGCTCTTTACCTAAAGCAACAGACTTATGCTAAAGAAATGTAATACAAATAAAATGAAATTGACAATAATGTTTGCCATGGTGATAGTATTTGCACAAAACAGTACACGATAACATTTTCAAAAACAGCTGAACTGCAGTAAAAATATCTTTATATTTTTCAAATGTTTATATCCAATGTATTTATAATAATCTTTTCAAAGGTTTGTGAGAAATAAATCTGATCTTTTTTTTTTTTTAAACTATGCATGGTATATGTGCTAACTTACTGAATTCATCCTTCATGCAATTCCAGTTTATTAAAGAGGTTAAAAATTTATAAAACTCTGATGGGATATGGTTTTAATGCTTCATCACACTACCCATCATTTGCTTTTCAATCTAGATCGGAATGATCTTTCCTACTTCCCTGCAATCACCTACCTGCACAGCTAATATTTTCTGAGCATTCTCATGAGAGGCTGCCTGGAACTTCGCCAGCCCAGCCTGGCTATAGAGGCCTCGCTGTTTGAAGTACTCCACCAATGCCCTATGCATCCTGCTCTGCAGCACGGAGAGCTAAAAGGGGGAAAGGCAAAAAAACCCAACAAAACAAGTCAGAGTAGGAGAGGAAATTAATGGCAGTGTTCAAGAAGAATGATGGAGGGAAATATAGAAAGCAGTCAATAGCCCATTCTGCACTGTACGGACCTGACAGGAATTTCACAGTCTCTTGATTTTTCAGCCCACTCATGTGCATTCATCAGAAACCAGTCACATCTGGCTGCTAGGATGGGGGGTTAATTTTCTCTAAATGCCTCAGCAGTTTTGTTCTAGCTGAGGCAAACTCTGTGACTGCAAAGCTGATGAGTAAAATATTTCTACTTCACCCAGTTTAACTCAAAACCGATAGCCTCGGGACATATTGAACCTTTCTTAAAAAAATAATCTTTTGAAGCTTTTTGAATGGCACATCAGGTCAGGCCAAAGTTTAAAATGCAAGTTTAAGACTTTGATGGACATCATGGCTTTTTTTCCCCTTGTAAAGCTTATCATAGCTTGGCAATGTGTGCTTTAGAGCATGACAAAACTAAAGAGAATTAACTTAGCCATCAACTGCTGAGGGAGAACAATAACAGGAAAGAAATTTCCAGATAGAACTACCTATTAATCTACCTAGCTATAACCATGTGACATGAAAGCATCCAACAGCACTAAATTACAATGAATGCAGCAGCTGAAAAGTGACACTATTTTTTTCAAAAGGTTTTTTATATGAAAAAGAATATTGGAGATCATTGGAACTGTATTGATCACTGCATCTGAAATTATTCAAATCAGAAATGTTTATTTAATATGCTTTTACAGTTTATTATTTAATATAGCAGCAGCATTCTCACACACTGTTGTTAAGCCTCTGTCAGTACTTTCATCATTTTTAAGCATTTATAACTCAGATAAACTTGGCACCGCAGGTCTCAGTCTAGAAGCAAAATCTATTAAGACAATTTGAAAATCTACCAATACAAAATGTGGCTGAAGACACCTGTGTACGCTTATAATTGAAACTTGGTTTGTTTCTTAAATTGACATTCTGCCAACATTTGTCCATAATCTGGGCTAGTGCCTTTGGGTGATCTGGAAAATACAAATTAAAACCAACTAAATTAATTTGTTTAGAAGCATGCTTTTGTGTTCAAGCATGCTAATTATTTCAATAAAAATTTCATAGCTATTGTTAGCACATAGCCTTCATGAGTATGCCTGTCAACCAGATTAACACAATAGATTATACTGTTCCTTTGGAAATGTTACAATTCATTAAGGTCAATGCTACAGGTCAGTAATTGGGCCAGTAATAAAGAAGCCTGTACATGATAAGAAATAACTGCTTTTTAGGAGCCAGCCTATTGTGTCAGGTGAAACAGCCACTTTTCAAAAGAACATAGATTTTAGTAATGCCAAATGAGCTACTAGAATCTAGAGAGTAATTAATGAGTATTTTCAAAATTAATGGTCTGATTTTCAGAGGTGCTGAGCTTTCACAACTCATATAAGCGTCTATGAAAGCCGAACTAGTAGGCATCTTTATAAATTAAGCCAGACAATCATAATTTAGGAGTGGGCAAAATGGCAGATCTGGCTGGTGGCTGGACTCCATTTCCCAGCAGCCCCTGCCCATGTTGATGCAGCTGGATTCCATGGAGACCCCATGACAGTGCAGGGCTAGGGTTTCCATGGAGACCAGCCCCTGCAGTGCTGGCAGGCTGAGTGGCTGGGCAGGGAGCTACTCCAGGGCCAGGATTTTGTGGCGGTGAAAGCACGGTCAAGGAGTCAGGGCAGACCTGCAATTTGCTGCCTGCACGTCCCAGTGGATCACAGCTCTGCCCTGGCTCCAGACCACACTTGTCACCGCCACAAGATCCCAGCCACGGGGCAGCTCATCACCCAGCTGCACACCCTGCCAGTGCTGCTGGGGCCAGTCTCCAAGGAAACCCTGGCCCTGTGCTTTTATAGCCCTGCTGCTGCTGGAGTCTTCCTGGAAACTGGGTGCAGCAATGCAGGCAGAGGCTGCTGGGAAATGGAGTCAACTGCAGGCCCAATTCAGCCTGCAGGCCGGACTTTGCCTACCCCTGATATAACTAATCTTTTACATCACAATTTACATATTTATTTGAATTTGATCTATGTGAATGGCATCTATGCATCAACAATAGTAAAAACAAAAAATAGTTAAGCAAACCAGTTTAGAAAAATACAAAAATCTGCCCCAATCTCAGCCACAATCTGAAACCAAATAGGAACACGTTTTACAATATGAATAAAGTAATCGGAATATCACTGCTCCCTTTTTGAACACCAGTAGGCTTTTTTCTGAATTCCTTCTCTGAGTGTCTGTGGCATGTATTTCTCTGCTGTTTTAACTTATATTTTCAAATCTCAGAAGATTTGAGGGTCTCTGGGGCTTTGAGTGAAGAAACAACACAATATACAATATTTTTAAAAAGTGTGGCTTCAGGTCAACAGAGAAAATGTCCAAGGGAAGATACTCCACTGTGGATTATCATAGTTCTCTTGCTCATGGGAAGTCATAGTTTACTCTGGTGGGAAAATGGATGCTGAGGAAAAATGCAAAAGGATTTGTTTCAAGATTGTGAGGGGAGTCAGAAAGAAACAGATCAAATATGTTTGTATATCCAAAGTCTGGCTTATTCAAATCAAACGAAATCCTTCAAACTTTGAAGTTATACCGGTTAAGAATAATTCATCACAGCACAGAATGATAAAAAATAGGGCTGAAGAGACTTCCAGATGTCATCCAGTCCAACCCCCTGCTCATGGCAGAATGTGCACTGTAAATATTAAGCAGAAATACTGTTAATAAAAAGCTATTAACTGCATTTCTGCTTTTAAATAATGAAAAACTTTCAAATTGCAAGTTTGTTCCTCTTGCTGCCACATTATGCTCATTGACTCCCTATCATGGTATTTTCATTATATCCATTTTTCTTGTCTTTAATAAGAGGCAAGGACTGTATGCAACTAGGCATTTGTACTGGGCCCATCTCAATGGGGCCTCAATTCAATGTGGCCTTCTAGGCTGCTTGTACATGCCATGGGGGTTTACTTTGGTTTAATTCTCCCTAAATTGAAGCGGTAGTTTATTAAAAACACTGCTTCAAATTAAACCAAAGTAAACCCCCATGGCATATACACGTGTTGGGCCTGATCCTTACCTGCTTCTCTGGCAGGGCAGGGGTAGAGGGGAGGGGGAGCTGCCGATGGGCTGAGTGGTCTCTGAACTACAGCGGGGGGTGCTGGTGCTTCCCTCTGCAGTGGCAGTGGTACCCCCCCAGGTGGCACTTGCCTGCAGGCACCTGGCCTGGGCAATCCTGGGGGGCACCACAGCCATGGGGGGAAGCACCAAGCCCCTGTGCAGCGCAGGCAGGAAGACAGGCTCCAGGGAGGGGAAAAAAAAGATCAGGCTCACTGCTTTTTTTTTTTTTTTCTTTTCAGGGAAGCCTGCCTGCATGGGCTGCCTGCACAACCCCTGAGCTGCACGGGGCCCAGTGCTTCCCTCTGCGGCTGTAGGGTAGCAAATTAAAACACCTCCAATGTGTTTTTATTTTGCTACATCCCAAAGTTATTTAACATGCAATACACTGCTGACAGTGTAAACAGCAGTGCCATTAACATGCAATAGGCCACTGACAGTGTAAACAGCAATGCCATTAAAGCAGTGCAAAAGGGCATTTAAGCCACTTTAAAGGCAAATTTTGTGGTGTGTACAACCCCCCCTAGAGTCAGCTATAATATAAATAACATTATAATTCAGAAATTATCATATGGACTTAATATGTGTTTATTTGGAAAATGTGTCTCAAACTTAAATAACTACTTGTTATCTAAATTTCATTCAATCTTATCAGTTTATACCAAGGAACCTTTTTATGTGTTATAATTTATGCCATAATTAATGTGTTAATCATGGCATGGGCAGATATGCTCTCAATTTATCATAAAATCACAATGAGCCATAAAAATGTTCCACATCTAACATAGAACATCTTTATGTCTGGTTTGTGTAGTGTCTTAAATTTAACATGTGGCCAGGGCTGACAATCAGCTGATTGTTGGTCCCAAGGCCAGGACTGCATGAAGATCTGGAATCAGCCCCTAGAACTCATGTCTGATTCGAGAGTTGTCTGGGCCAGGCTATCAGTCCTGCATGTGGGGCTGGGCACCCAGATTTCAACTTGCTGGTGCAGGGGGAGCCCAGGCTCACAGTCCTGGTCTCCCCCTACATTGGCAAGTAGTAATGGCATGTTTGGGATCTGACTTCTGATCCCAACGTGCCAGTAAATGAATGTGTACCAGAGACCTAGGTGACTTTCCAGTCCAAGAAGAATCAATGCTAAGTCTCAGCTGGTTTCAGGGCCTTATTTGATTTTTTTCAGTTAAATAGGAAATTTATGAGTAACACCAAATCAAAACAAATCCAGGCTCAAACTAGAGGTTTATGCCCTTTCCTCTTTACCTCTAGAAATAGGCCATATTTTCCAGAAATTTCTGCAGGGTCATAAGACAAATAGCCTTTAACCTTCCCATGGCTGTTGAACCTGGCACAGTTAGGCATTTCCAAGCTAAAGGCATGATGTCATTATTATTATGATTTTCTTATTATTTCTTATGGTTTGTGATAGCCCTTGAAAAGTATGAAAATAAATGTACTTATATATGTATCCTTTTGAGTCGGACAAATGTTTTTTCTTATGTATTTCTAAATACATTGAACTGAATATGACTATAGAAGATAATGCCCTTTCTTGTACTATAACCCACAGACTGTGAACCTAGGGCTATGCAAGATAGTCATCTCATTTCTGACAAATGCTTGCCTAAGGGGCTAGGGGTGTAGGAGCAGACTGCCAAAAGAAAAAGCAGAACATCCTCCAGCCCCTAAGAAGCATTGGGGAAAACAAGCTCCAGTCCCCCAGCAGTACCTACCACACAATGTTGTTCTGCTGAGGCTGTGGCATTGGCTCTGCTCCCTGTCTGTAAAATAACCCCCCTCAAGG